TCAAGCTCACCAGCTGCTCCTCGGAAACCCTATACAGGGTTGCTATGGGTCGGAACCTACTCGACGGCACCTAACAACAACAACATATAAATTATATGTGAGAATAAGTTAAAAAAGTATTGCTACAATATCATTGTTGTTAACTACCATCGAGTCAGTTTCAAGTCATAACAACCCTTCATAGGTTTTCCTAGGCTTTAAATCTTCTCAGGTGCAGGAAGCCTCATCTTTTTCCTGCAGAGCTGCTAGTGGGCTCGAACCACGGACCTTGTGGTTTGCAGTTCAGTGCTTAGAAACCGTTAATAAACAAAAATATCGAAGTGTGAAGCTATTATTTCCCAACATACTTACCATCTATGTCTATATGCTTCTGAAGATAGTGTTTCCATCTCGTTAATATTGTCCCAAAAAATTCTGCACTTTTCAATTTACACCATGGTAGAACAGCAGTTTACATATATCTTCGAGGGTGTTCTTTTTAAATGTCCTTTGAGTTTGGGGAACAAAATGAAGACTGAAGGGGAAAGATCAGGGTAGGGTTGATGGGGGAAGGTTTCCCATTGCAATTCTCGTAGGACAGACCTTGCTACCCTTAAAAAATGAGCAGGTGCACTGTCATGATTGGGGAAAGAAATTCCTCAGCGCAGCTTTCCAGTTTCTTAAAACTTCTTTATACGCCTTCATGATCATTTGGCCTTTGAGAAAATCTACCAAAATTACACCTTTGAAAATTTAAAACAGTCTGCATAACCTTCTGAAGTGACCTCTCTGCCTGGAATTTAACTGATCCACTGTTTTGATTGGACCTTTTTTTGAAGGTACTAACAACCCTGAGAAAAGCGTGTTGTTGAGAGGACTTGTCTGCATTCATTCACTGATTACAGAGACATGTTTAAACATGTTTTGTTTTAAGTAAACCCTTGCATGTAAGAATTAGAACCATAGCAGCAATATTTTTGAGTTATTATTATATATATTTGGTTGTTATATCCTGAAAGAAAGAAAATGTTCATTTATGAAATAAATGCTTAATTTATACAGTTTACAAGGAATAATTTATACAGTTCTACATAGGATAAGCATTGTACTGCTGATCACAAGGTCAGTAGATCAAACCCACCAGCCCCTTGTGTGTGTGTGTGTGTGTGTGTATATATATATACACACACACATAGATATACATTTATATATATAAAACCCTGCTTTATGTATATACATATACATACATATATACATACACTATATATAATGTATATCTTTGTATAGATATATATATATAAAGCAGGATTGATATTCACAATATATAAGAAACAAATTTATAAATTAAAATTAAAAAAATATTTTTGTCCTAATTAAAAAAAAAATTATGCTACAAACTGTTTCCCTAGTAATATAAACTCTAGTGTAAATAGTTCATCAGATCATTTTCATATGTGCCAGCTCATGACTTGATTTTCAGTACTTGATGTAATTTATGTGTTTGTAATTCTCACTAGCTAAATGATAACCATGTGAGCCATAATTTAAGATAGAGAACTCTATTCAAGTCTTCCATTAATGTCACCTTTAAATTGAGAGTCATTAACTTCCCAGCTCCCGACATCCCATGGGCAGAACCTGATGTCAGTGAGAAGGGCCTGAATAGCCCATACCTACCATGACTGTCAACCTCTTCTCTGCTTGCCCCACCTGCCTTTTTCTCATCACACATGTGCCCTTATTCACCTCTGTGTTGTTAAAAGCCATCCAGTAGGTTCCAACTCAGTGACCCTGTATTGGGTTTCCGAGGAGCAGATGGTGGGTTTGAACCACTGACATTGTGGTTAGCAGTACAGTGCTTATCCTACAGTGCCACACCAGGACTCCATTCACCTCTGCTGTTGTTCAGTGCTGTTGAGTTCTGACTGATAGTGACCCTGTATAGGATTTCCAAGTAGTGCCTGGTGGGTTTGAACTGCCGATGTTGAGGTTAACTGTCCAGTGCTTATCCTATAGCATCACACCAGGGCTGTATCTGCCCCTAAGGATCTGATGACATGGGTGTTCATTAGAAGTGTTTTGAAGGTGCTAATATCTATCATTTTTATTCTTTTTACCTTCTTGTTATATAAGTGAACTTCTTTACTATTTGTATGTTTAAGAGGAGGCAAAAATTGATCTGATAAGGTGATAGCATAAGAAACTAATGTCACGGTGGTGGTAATGCCATCTCTCTATGTCATACAGGGATGAGCCACCAAAGCCAACCTTAGCTTTGGAATATACATACGGAAGAAGAACAAAAGGACACAACACAGTGAGTGTCGTTGTAACTGATACTGCTTCCCTATAGACAGTGAAGTAATGACGTTGACTTTGTTTTACATTTTCCTTCTTAACCACAAATCAATAAACATACCCTTCATGCTGTTAAACTTCAAATGCAATTCAGCAGCTATGAAGCCAACCCAAACTGTGAAAATAGTTTAGCCCTCTCATTTGCTGTGTCAAGGAATGCTGGATAAGATTCCATCACAACTTTACTTCTTTTATTTCTTTGATGCAGTATGTTAATTGTATTATTGTGACTTTCACCCTGTTCAAATTAAAATAATACTGTGAGTTACCTTCTGTCTCCCCCAAAAATCTGCTTAAAATACGAGTGTGCACTATGGAATATTTATGAAAGCATACTGTTCAGAAGCTAAATTATTAGCATTATTATAAATACATCTTTAATTTGTATTTTTGTTTCAAGGTCCTAATTAATGCCTAGGACCTTGTTTAGTTTCTTTTTATAGGAAAAGTAGAACCTGTTCACAATAAGGGGAGAGTTTGTAGCATATGTGGTGCTGTGGGATAAGCACTGGACTGCTCACCACAAGACTGTCTGTTCAAACCCACCATCCACTCTGTGAAAACCCTATACAGGATTACTATGAGTTGAAACCACCTTGACAGCACTTAATAATAATTAAAACCAAACCCATTGCCAGAAAGTCTATTCTGACTCATATAGGGTTTCTGAGACTAAATCTTTATGGGAGCAGATAGCCTCATCTTTCCCCCTGAGGAGTGACTGATGGGTTTGAACTGCTGACCTTGTCGTTAGCAGCCAAACATTTAGCCCATAGCACCACCAGGGTTCGCTTATAGTGTATATTAAAACTAACCCAGACCCACTACTATGGAGTTGATTGTGACCCTATAAAACAGAGTAGAACTGCTCCCTAGGGTTTCTGAGGCTGTAAGTCTTTACAGAAACAAACTGTCTCACCTTTATCCCACAAAGTGGCTGGTGAATTTTAACTGCCAACCTTTTGCTTAGCAGCCCAATGCTTAGCCAGCTGCTCCACTGGGGTTCCTCAATATCTATTGTGGTTGTTGCTCAGTGCTATTGAGTCAGTTCCAACTCATAGTAACCTTGAATAGCGTTTCTGAAATGTAAATCTGTTGGGGAGCAGAAAGTCTAATATCTCTCCCATGGAGTAACTGGTGGTCTTGAACTGCCGACCTTGTGGTTAGCAGCCCAACGTTTCTTTTACAGTGTCGCAGCACTCCCTGAGTGTCTATTAAGGGAAGGAATCCCTACACAGACTCACTTTTGGAGCTGTCATATGAAATGAAGCCTTTAGTTAGATAAACTTAAATCTATGGAAGAACAATCGAGAGGAGAGAGTTTCAAGAGAATTTTTTTCAGATTGAACTAGTCCAGATGTTTGACCATTAGCCTGCATAAGGAGCTAAAACCTGTAGCTGTTTTCTGTATTGCCCAACAAAAATTTTTTATTAAAGCTCTACAGTTAAAAAGACAAGAACAAATAGAATATGTCCAGACCCAGGAAAACGTCATTTTTATGACTCACATGAGTAATTGGCCCCCAAATCAAATGATCCTTTTCATAAGAAAAAACCTCTGAAACTGTTTTCATAAAGCTTAACTTTCTGAAGAGCTCTTCAGTGAATTATGAATTGAGGAAGATTTTCCAGTGCAAAATTATTAATCCCATTGTTATTGTTGTTAAGTACTGTCCAGTTGGCTCTGACTCATAGTGAACCCTGTATAGGGTTTCCAAGGAGCAGCTGGTGGGTTTGAACTGCCAACCTTGTGGTTTGCAGTCCATGGCTGATCCTATAGCACCAAACCAGAGGCCCATAAGCCTAAGTAATTTAAATATCAACAACAAAGCACTTTTAGTGATTTGTTAAACAAATGAGAACTTGTCAAAAATGCAATATACCCATTAAAGCCTGTTTTAATGACCATCTGTCTCTTCTAAGTTCATGGTAAATAATTCCTAAAAGCCAATGTGATTTCTTCTTCATATACCTTTTTCTCTAAACTGTATTATCAAGTTAAGCCTTTCTGTGTTCATCCTGGAAGCTTCATGCCTTTCTCTGGTTTAATGTTCATTCATAGCTGAATATAGCGGCACTTTGTCAGCTCCCCACACAGCTTCACTGGCCTGAAGCCTTGTCAGCAATAGTGGAAGATAGTATTGGCCAGCACCCTAGGACAGTTCTCTTGGAATGTTGTTGTTGTTTAGTGCCATCAAGTTGATTCCAACTCATAGTGACCCTGTGAGGTTTCTGAGGAGTAGCTGATGGGCTTGAACTGCTGACTTTTCAGTAAGCAGTTCTGTGCGTATCTTATGGTGCCACACCAGGACGTTTATTTCCAAGCTACTTGGCTGCCAAGCCCTTTCAATCCCCTATTATTTAAAGGGCTCCAGGGAAAGGAGTCTTGGTGTGGGATAAGCACTGGACTGCTAACTGCAAGGTTGGTGGTTCAAATCCATCAGCCACTCCTCAGAAAACTGATACAGGGTCGCTATGAGTCAGAACCGATTTGACAGCATTTAGCAGCAACAGGAAAGGAGCTCTGGCAGCACAGTGGTTAAAGTGCTGGCTGCCAACCACAAGGTCAGTGGTTCAAACCCACCAGCGCCAACAGGATGTAGCAGTCTACTCCTGTAAAGATTACAGTTCTTGGAAACCCTTTGCAGCAGTTCTACACAGTCCTATAGAGTGAGAATTGACTGGATAGCAGTAGGGTTTTTTGGCTTTATGGAAAAAGAGAAGGAGCCCTAGTAGCACAGCGGTTAAGCACTTGACTGCTGGCTGAAAAGTTGGCAGTGCATGCTGAGCAGCCAGTCCATGGGAGAAAAGGCCTGGCTACATGCTTTCATCAAGATTGTGGTTGTTGTTGCTAAGTACCACTGAGGCAGTTCCCACTCTTAGAGACCCTGTAGAGGGTTTCTGAGGAGTGGCTGGTGGGTTTGAATCACTGACCTTGTGCCTAGCAGTCTAATGCTTATGCTAAAGTGCCACACCACGATTACAGTCGAGAAAGCCCCATGATGCCGTTCCGCTCTGTCCTACAGGGCCGCTATAAGCCAGTCTCATTTCAGTGGCACAGAACACCATGAACAAGGGAGGAGACTCTGATGCAGATTGTTAGTATGCTCAGCTGTTAACCATGGGTCCATCCAGAAGCAACCAATCTCTTCCAAGGTCATTTACTTTAAAAAAAATCAGCCATGGACTCTATGTAGTTCTACTCAGACACACATGGAGTTGCCAGGAGTTGGACTTAACTCACCAGCAATTGGTTTTATAGAAAAGGAAGTAGTGTAGTGTCTTCCTGTGCTCCAACCCCCTACTTGTTTTGGTCAGTGGGAGCCTGTCTGATTCCCTGGGGTGGCAGGGACAGGATTTTGGCTTATACTTTTGCTCAGAGAACCCTGACCTGTAGCCAGAGTGCCATCTGTTGTCCCCATTTCTCATGACAGGGCCTTAATATGTGTTGAATTTATTTTGTGAGCTTCCTACCCTAAATCAAGATGTTTTCTATTCAGTTGTTTTACTTGTACCTAGGATTATAATAACTTTTCATAAAGGAGTATGGTCAGCTAGTTGGTTTTCTTTAAAACTTGGAGTAAGTATGTGCTGCATCTGACATTTACAGAATTGGACACTATTTCTTCCATTAAGTTATAACTGGAATTATACAACATGCTCTCTATTGGGGGGGAGGTTAAAAAACTGTGATAATGTATATACAGTAAAACCTGCAACAGCCATATTATACACATTTCACTCTGCAGTAATTTCTTCTTTTTTGCTTATTTATGCTTTCTAAATTTCAACAATAAATACTTACAAAATTTAAAAAGTTAACACCTGCAGCAGTTGTTGTTAAGTGGCACTGAGTTGTTTCTGACTCATAGTGACATGGTATAGGGTTTCCAGAGAGCAGCTGGTGGTTTTGAACCACCAATATCGCAGTTCAAACTGACCTTCCTATCCAGTGCATTATCCTGTAGCACTACGTCAGGACTCTGAAATCTGACTTTAGCGCACAACTTTAGGGGAAGACCCTCTCTCTCTGTATGTTCTGGAGGGACATCTTAGCTGTAGCCCTTGAACTTCTCAGTTCTTTGGTGAGCTTCACATGGCATCTGTTTTCCTACATTTGTACTTGCTTCATGCTTGGTCTGCTTTGCTTTTATCTCAGAAGTGATATCACACTGATATGATTCCATTAGTATAACAGAAGAAACCCCTATTTCCAAGTGAGATTATATTCACAAGTGCTAGGATTTCAGCACATTTTTAGGGTAGACACAATTCAAGTCATAACACAGCCCCATGAAAGAAGTGACTCTAAGATACGGGTAATCCTTGATTGACTATGTATTCGAGTTACAATGAACTGCACTTGTGATCATTTGTTGTTGTTGTTTTGGTACATTTTATAATTAGTAATATGTACTACACACAATGTTGTAATACAATGTAAGAAGAGGAACTGGCAGATCAGGACTTAATGGATTGTGAAGAGGGGAAAAAATGCTGAAGAAGAAAGAATAAGGAAGAGAAAGGAGAAAAGTTGTCAAAATATTTTACAGTGAAAAGTTTAGCTGAAGTTCTTTCTACACTAAAGCTGGACCTTCAGTTACTTGAAAACATGGACCTAAGCGCTGTAGAATAAGCACTTGACCATGGGGTCAGTTTGAACTGCAAGGTCAGTGGTTGGGACTCGCTAACCGCTACTCCAAAACTCTGTGCGGGGTTGCTATGGGTTGGAACTGACTTGACGCCTCTTAACAACAACAACAAAAAATACGGATTGATTTGCTAAAATAAATAAACAGGTTTGGAAAGCAGTGAGATGTGAACCACAAAATATTGAAAAAACAGAAGAAGAGGGCCACAGACAGCTCATTCGTTTACTGACTGGAAATGCCATCCTTATTCCTAGAAATCGTTCAGGGATCCAGAACCTTCTACAGGTGAAGTTATTACTGCAACTGA